ACTTAAACTACGTTTCTGCGCATGACATCCGCTTCTCTCCATTTCCCATTTTGTACACCCAGCAGCTGAGACTGCTGGGAGTACCTTCCTGACACCCTGCCACATTTACAGCAAGGCACAAACTACTACAACAGAAACTGCCTCAGGAGCTTCCCATGGAACATCAACACCAGTGCGAGCTCTGCTTCTAAGGGAGCAGAGGCTCCCTCCTTATTGTCTGTTTCTCACTGTGTCTGTTGGCAAGCTTGCAGCCTCTGCTGGACTGTGGCGTGCATCCTGAGCAGGTACTGCGCCAGGCTGCAGAGCACTCACGCAGGGCCCACAGGCAGAGCGGTGAAGCTTCACTCTCCTGACAGCAAGATTCAGAAGGAGGCTTTGTCTTGTGTTTCCATGGAGGATGCCTAGATTCCCTAAGAGGCTTTTTCAGAGACGTGGCTCTATCAGCGGGTTCCTTTCACTGGCTTAAGACTGCTGCACAGTAGGCCAGTGAATCTATGGAAAGGAACGCATGTGAACGCTACACTTACACTTGTTTTTCTTTTCTAGTCAGCAAATTCAGCCTCATGTCTGCTTCAGTATTAAAATTTTACAGATGAACATACTTTAGTTTTGTAATGCCTCAACTTACTTTATTACATCACCATCTTACATAGATAAACCTTAGAGTACTCATTCCTGAAATCTATAGAGCTTTGCCTTGTCTGATACTTTAAGGCGGCAAAGCTACCAGCCATCAAAAGCATCAGAGTTCTTGAGAAGGATAAGATTTTACCTGAGACTGGAGAATGAGAGACTTCGTAGCTGACTGCATGGACAGCCACCCCCAAGGGCCTCCACAGTTGTTGCAGTCAGAGGCTCCAAGAACACCTGCCTTTTGCTGATAGTGAGACCTGTGCATTGGGGACTTTTTAGGAAGACTTTCCTACGGTTGACCTGAGCAGCGTGGAGAAAGTCGATTCCAGTGTCCTCTTTTCCAGTGAAGAGTCCTGTGAAGCAGTTGAGGTGAAGGGCAGGGCTGCTCAGTGGCCAGCATTGCCACTTTTGTGGGCGGAGTTTCTTGAGTGTCCACCAGTCTTCTTGGAAGAAATGGGGTGGTGCCAGCAGCTGGCCTGTCTCTCTGTTATAAAAAGCTTTTAAATAAAACATTGAAATGCCACGTTCTCTAGATCTCTGAGCATTTGAGGACTGTTTGTCTGTTTAGTATATCTTAGTAGACAGAATTTATCTTTAGTGACTTGCCTTAAGCGCATAGATGGCTAGAAAATAGAAGTAATAGAAGCTTTACCTTTGTAACCAGCTTACAGGAAGGACTGGGTGTTATACTTTGTTAATTTGAAATAGACCCTTATAACTTTAAATGTTTATCATCATTTAAGAGACAACAATTTAGAAATATTTGATATTTAGTGTAGTTTAATTAAAGTTACCTTATTTTTTACACATACATGTAGATACATTAAACAGGATTGGGCAAAAGTGTTTGATCCACACTTGTAGCAAACAGATTTAAAGAGACAGTCAGTGATGAGAAGGAAGATTTATTACAGATAGACAGGGGACCCTGGAAAGGCACAGTATTCCATAAACAAGCCATGTAAAGCTGAGCCAATGAAAGAAGAAATTAGAGGTAAAAATAAAAGCTCAAAAGAGACAAAAAGTAAATGAATTGTATCTATCAGCAGGCTTGGCCGGCAAAAGCTGGCTGGACCTAGTGAGGTGAGGCGCGTCTACACCTAGGTCACTCAGTAAACATGGCGGCCTCAGTAAACAAGTTTCCAAGGTAGGCTGCATCACCAAGATGGTGGCCTCCATAGGCACATTCCTTAGAGTGTCCTGAACAGACACTAACCCAAGCCAAGCCATTGTAAGCTGCTGACATCTGTATGGAAAAGGAATACGGTAGAAGCAAAGCTGAACAGAAAAGAGGAATTTGTCATTCCAAGCTGAATGAACAGGAGAGACAAAATAGGACACTCCCGGGTGGAAGGTGGTTCCCGCCCTGAGACAGTTTAGTCACGATGGGAAGTGGCGAAGCCTCTGGGACGGGTGGGAGTTTTTTAGGTTTAGCTTTAAAAGCTAGAAGAATGAGATTTAGAGGAAGAATGTTGAAGAGAATGTTTAGCAGAGAGGTAGAGAAAAAGGTTTCTCTTTCATTATACTACTTTTCATAGTCTTAACATTAATCAATAAAGTTCTGATAAGCTACTAATCTAGCTCCAACAGTGTTAAACAACTATACCACTATATAATCATAACTATAAGCTCAAAATTAAGGTGCTTTTCGTTATGCTAAAAATATCTGTCAGTTTCAAAAATGTTAATGCTGTCAGTCAAGTCTTTTCTAACACAAATATGCTGCTGATATGTCTAATACTTATGTTTTCACAAACTCAGAGGATTCTTGTAAGCTCCAGAAAGCCAAATTGGACCCACCCAAACAGGTCAGATTCACTCCAGATATTATTCAACCTCTCCCTGGTCCTGGGACTCCCTTCTCTCATCTTGAGACCCCTGGGGAACCTCTCCCTCATCTTACAGTCTTCCCCTCAAATACTAGGACCTAAGAAAGAAATTTTTTTTTCAACCTAACTTTGTCTTCTACTCTGCTAACATCTTCCCAGATCCACAGAGATGCCAGAGTTCCAATGGAACCACCAGCTACTCCAGATGTGGCAACACCCCAACTTTCTCAGGTTCCCCCAAAGATGATCAACGCCCCCAGGTCAACAGGAAGTAGTTTTAAGAACTCAATGTCCTTGATCCCAAACCTGCCACGTCTAACACCCCCATCTCTTCTTAATCATAAATAAAGATGGGAATGAAAGGTTCAGGCATTACGCTGGTCTGTCCTGTTAGCTGGCAGGAATCACTCAGGCAGCACTCTGGCCAGCCCAGAGTTCTGTGAAAACCACGCAGGTGCAAAGGACCCCTTTGAAGGACTGACCCCTGACCGATTACACTCTCTCTTTTACTCTCGTCTCTCTCTCTCGTCTCTCTCTCTCTCTCTGTCTCTCTCTCTCTCTCTCTCCTCCCTCCCTCCCGCCCTCCCTCCCCCCTCTCTCATATCTTATCCCCCTCTCAGCTCTGCATGGGTTGGTTACATCTCACCCCCCCCTTTCCCTCCCTGTCCACCAATAAAACTCCACGTGGGATCATTGAAAAGAAAATTTTTACAGATGAAGAAAGCAAGGCACAGGGGTCAAGTTATCTGCCCCACATTCTAGCTAGACCAAACCCTACTCCACCCCGCAGTCTGGTGCAGACACTATGCTGTGTCTACCTCATCAGCGCTCACCATCTATTCCAACCAACCAGAAAAGTAATTTGTACCCAACACTTCAGTTTGATTGCAAGTTGAAATCCCACTTAAATACTGTGCTGTGAATTAATACTCAGTACACTGACTCCTCTTCATGTGGATCTGTTTTTGCTGTGACTGCGGTGATGGAAGGAAGAAAAAGGCTGCAGCACATCCGCTTCAGGCACCCCACAACTATGCTGGAGACTGATGCCACAGCATCGCAGACAAGTGCTCTACCATTGACCTTATCACCGTGGGCAACAGCCTGTTAACTGTATGCTAGTGAGCCTGCTGTGCCCTGAACACAGGAGACCACACACAACTCCACTTAACCCAGCGGTGGAGAAAGCACAGTTGATCCATCATACACTCTCAAGGACAAACCACTGGACCACTGAGGAGGTACTCCCATCATAGCACCAGGCAGGGCCTCTGAAGCAGTCGGTCATTTACTTCTCAATATTGAGAAGAGACTTGGGCACCAAGCCATTCTGGGGTAGGCAGCCCAGGAAGAGCCAAAGGGACCACAGCCTCAGTGCAAAGTGCAAGGCTCTGGGCCCAGTATCAGGGCGGTGGCAGGAATTCACACAAAGGAACAACCAGACACCATGTGCCCTAGTATTGTAAGCTAATAGACTTAAGACAGCAATGCTGGTGTAGACTGGTTTTCCCAACCACTGAGATGATTGATCCCTTGGACCTAGGAGTCTGAGACCAAGCTAGGAAACACAAGGCAACCCCTTTAAAAGGGGGAACCCTAAATACTGAAATATTCTGTTATGTAAGGAAAATTAACGGTCTTCTTTACAAAGTCATTCCTGAATTTGTAGGAATAGCTACAAAACAATAAAGAGAAAGCACCTCCTCCAGGAGTTTCTCCTGCACGTACATCTGCATAAAGGCTGTGCAGGACCTGGGGTGGCAGGTAAGCTTCCGTCCAGCTGATGGCCAACAGCACAGGCTGGGCAATAATCAGGACTGGCTGGAAATCTATGAGGTCAGGGAACACGCTGAGCAAGAGATCACTCCTGAAGTGTCCATGGGAACAGAGTCCAAGAAGTCAAGACACTATGGCTCGAAAGAGTACGGAATGGGAGGCCTAGTGCATATATGTCACCTATGAGAGCCCAATAGTGACATGCCACAGAAGGCTAATTGGGTAGGTGGCCCCCTTTCCCACACCTGTGGTCTGCTTCTGCCATGGCTCCTGTTTGCTCACACTGGTTTAACTGGGGAACTACACCACCTCCAGCATGCCCCTGCCTCAGCCTCTTCATCCGTTGCCCCTCTGATGCCTGGTAAGCTTCAGACACATAAGGCTGAGTCCTACTTCCTTCAGGCCTCTTCATGCAAAGGCCTACACATGCTGGTCACTCACACTCCAGGACTAGGAGTGACCTTTATGACTCAATAGCTCCATGCCCGGGATGCTCTGCATGTCCCACTAAAATGTGTCTTTGCTGACAGCAGAAATTTTATTTGCTCTTATAGTCTTTCAAACTAGAACCAAGCCTGGCACAGGGTAGAAGCAAAGTAATGATGGAATTATTAACACCAAGTAAGTAGCTGGTGAAGGTGACAAGTAAATTGAAGCATTCATTATTTAAAAGCTGTCTACTCCTCCAGCATGCAGCAGAACCCTGTGGTGTGCTCCAAGGAGTAGTTTGTTTCTGCCCCAACAGCTCCCCCAGTGACTCACAGCATCCGCAGGTGGTGAAAGGTTCGGTCATCCTGTTTAAGCCAAGGCCCTTTGTTGTAGTTAAGGTATTCAATGTCCTCTACCACCTAAAACAACAGAAACAGAGAACCCCACTTTAGAATTGTGAATGAGGCAACAGTGGAAGCCACAAACTCTTGGCATACAAGTCACGAACAAAATGGTAGGACCCGAGTGCTGCTCAGCATGGTCCTGCCTCACCAGCATCCCAAATACCAAGAGCTGCTCTGAAGACTGGAGGAAAAGTAAGACTGGACAGAAAAGCCAACAGTAAGGACAAACTACCCTCGTCTTCCCAAAACTTCCTTCAGAAGGAAAGAGTCAAGCAGAGAAGCAGAGGAACCTGAATGCCAACACATTCCTGGAGAGGTCGGGCCTCTAGTCCCGCCCTTTCAGAGGCACTCTCCTCAGGCTCAGAGCTCTTCTACGTGAACATGAACAGGGTGGCACGGGACCAGGATGGTAAGGAAAGCAGCCTTTCAGACCACGCAGGACAAGCCAGGGAAAGACGCTTCAGCAGGAAGCAGCAGAACCACACTAGAACACGGGCTCCTCTGAAAGCAGAGCGCTGCTCCCTAGGGACAGCTCACCAGGCTCCCTTCCTCTGTCCTCTGTCCAGAGGAACTGAGCATGCAGGCTGTCACAGCCACCAGCTCTGCAAGATCCTTCTGCAGGACAGAGGGGCCACTGCCAGCACTCAAGTCTTGAATTCCTACACTTCTTACTGTTTACTAACTCTCAACCTTCGTTTCTTCCTGAGACAAGGTCTTGCTACACCCCAGCTAACCTGGAACTCACTATGTAGACCAGGCTGCCTCAAACGTGCAGTAATCTTCCTGCCCCTGCTTCCCAAGTGCTGGCACTACAAACATGCCTCACTTGGCGCTGGCAACTGAAGCTTCAGATACAATGAATAAATTTACAGCAGAATTCCTGTGAGGGGATGGGTGTTAGTTTTTGCCACTGTCAACAGGTTCTCATGATGCAGCCTAGGCTGGTCTTGAATTCACTATGTAGCTTAGGCTGGCCTCGAACTTCCATTTCTTTACTTTAGGCTTACATTTTTTTCACTGAGTGGATATTTACTTGCCTGAATGTCATTTAAAAAATGACCTTTTCCCTCCTATTTCACTTTTTATTATTATCTTGAAGGAACTGGCTTGGCCAGACTAGGGTGGTCTTTGTCTTGAGTCTAGTGAACCAAAACCAGCTCATGCTAACTGGGTGACTTCCTACCTCTTGCATTAACCAACTCATGCTAACTGGGTGACTCCTACCTCTTGCATTAACCAGCTCATGCTAACTGGGTGACTTCCTACCTCTTGCATTAACCAACTCATGCTAACTGGGTGACTCCTACCTCTTGCATTAACCAGCTCATGCTAACTGGGTGACTCCTACCTCTTGCATTAACCAACTCATGCTAACTGGGTGACTCCTACCTCTTGCATTAACCAACTCATGCTAACTGGGTGACTTCCTACCTCTTGCATTAACCAGCTCATGCTAACTGGGTGACTCCTACCTCTTGCATTAACCAACTCATGCTAACTGGGTGACTTCCTACCTCTTGCATTAACCAACTCATGCTAACTGGGTGACTTCCTACCTCTTGCATTAACCAACTCATGCTAACTGGGTGACTCCCTACCTCTTGCATTAACCAACTCATGCTAACTGGGTGACTTCCTACCTCTTGCATTAACCAACTCATGCTAACTGGGTGACTCCCTACCTCTTGCATTAACGACACAAGAGTTTTTTGCTACTGTGCATGTGCTTTTGTACTTGGGAGAGTAGATGTCCTGAATTACTCCTTTCAGAATTTTCTTGGCTGGTACTTACTAGGTTTCCTGAAAACTCCATTAAGATTAACTGGAATTTCACAGAATTCAGAGTCAAGGCAAATAGTTCTCTTTAAAAATTAATTCTAACTTTTCCTCTGAACTAATGAAAGGTGCAGCTGTAATACTCTTGAGATACATACATGACCACGGGCATTTTGCATCTTTGCCATCTAAGATTTTAAGATGATATGAACAAAGCTAAATTAAAAAAAAAATCAACAATTTGATGGCTCAGGGAGGGTGACGAGCAGGGCGGATCCTACTGTCTGATTATGATGCGCCAATGCTCCTATAACTAGTAGGAATCACACTCATCATGTGGCCTGGGGAGCCCTGTGCATCAAATTTAAGAACATCTGCCACTGACTAGCATTGCCCCACCTTGGTTGAGTCTTCAGATTCCCAGGTACTGTACACCAAAACCTCACACTGCTCACTGTAAGACAGAATGAGAGGCACGTGGTTAGCATTTCCACATAGGTCTGGACAAATGTCCAGCAGCCACTAGAGCCCCTGTTCTGACACAAGCATCCCCCAGACAGTGACCTGAGTATCCTGTGTCCATGCCACCACAGTATGACTCTGCAGGAGGCAAAAACCACTTACTTCATTTTTGTTTTATTCATAATTTCAATTTCTTTGAGAACTTAAACAATGCCCTGAAACTTTTCGGTATCAAACAATTCAACTGTAACACCTTCCTTTACATACAAATACACCCAGGACCCGAGAGCCCTGAGAAGTGGGGGAAGCACAGTTCCCTCATGCTTCAACACAGGAACAGGAATGGAAGAGAACAGCTATGGTGACGCTCACCCTATACTGCTGAAGGACCCAACTGAAAGGATCCATGGGACTGCGTTTTCATGGATTTCCTCCACAGGTATGCTGAGTGTTTCCAGCAAGTTTCCTAGATATCTAGCTGCTGCCTGAATAAGAGTGCATCTCTAGTTCCCTCCAATCTCTGTAAGGCAGCTTGAGTCTTACATGTCAGCACTGAGCTGGGCTCACCTCATCTCTGGGAGGAAGGTGTTTTTGTAGGCATTCTCGATGTCCTGGAGATAGGCAGAGGTGATCTTCATCTCATGTGGCTAAACAAAAGCAGAGAAAACAGAGCAGGAGGCATTCAGACTGTTTCTTACCGTGTGTGTAAAGCGTGGCCACAACTGGAGGCACTGCTTTTTTCTAAGGACCAACAAGCTGCAAGGCTTCAGGGGACACAACCTGACTATAGAGCAACCCATGTCATGACCCTCCTCTACCAGAGCAGGGCCAGGGAAGAGGTCCCTCTGGAAAGTCCTGCCTGTCTTTCTGCTGCACCTCACATGAAGGGCAGGCAATGAGGGAGCATAGAGACTGGGAGGCGCAGTCTCTCCCACTGCCTCCACTCTCTTCCTGCAGACCTCTCTACCCCTCTGCTCTTCCCTCCGTTTCCTCCTCCACATTCCTTCACTCTCACTTCTCTTGTCATCTGAGGTAATTTTAAAACATTTAAAATTCAAGTAAGGGTGGACAGTTTAGCCAAAGCTAAGGCTCATTCTTTCTCCCTGGTTCATCTTCTGTGGTTTCTGCCTATTTCCCTGCTCATTACAGGGTTCCTTGACTACAGAGAGCTGCTGGGGTGGGGAAGTCACCTATCCGGTTACAGTCCCAGCACCCTAGATCACATGGAGATGTTCATTCTTCCACACCCATGTAAGCCCAAGGAGAAAGCCAGGCCTTGCCCTGCTTACTAGACTTGTAATGTACCAGCCTTGCCCTCTCCGCTAAGGAAATAACCTACCTTGCTGGTAACATAAACACTCAACACAAAACATCCACTGAACTTACATGACTACTGAAGGAACATCCCAAATCACTTTCATCTCTAGGACAACAGGACATGAGACCTTTCAGAAGAGAAAGGTCCAAGCAGGGCAGAGGAGATGGCCACTGGGAACTGGCACACATTGATCACAGAAATATGCAGACACCTGGCTCTCATGGTACTGACTTACATCTCCTTTCTTCTGGATCCGGCTCTTTATTTCCGGCACGGGCACATCGATATATATGACCAGATGGGGTGGCAGGTACTCTGGGAGAGTGAGCCGTTTCACTTCATTGTAGTGGTCCACACCTGCAGGAGAGAGCCCATGGTCATCAAACTCTAGACAGCTGCAGGCTTCTGGCACGTGGGGATCTAAACCATGACCGTAACCGCTGTCCACAGAACAGACTCTGAGTATGTCTACCTCACTTCCTGGACAAGTTGGAGACATGCCAAGTGTTCTCCTAATGTTTCTTGAGCTGGGATGCATGATACACCTGATATATATCTACTTATATCTTTATGGAACACAGATAAGAGTCTGGTCTATAGGGAGATCAAAAGGTATTTCTCAATTAATTCAACTGAAAACATAAGGTATACTTCCCTGGGTTCAGAATATTTCAGAGAGTTGAATAGACCATGCCAACTACCCACTGAATCAGATTCACACCAAAATGAACTGGGAGCCCTGAGACTGGAGCAGTCACCTCACCCTCAGCACACACCACATGGACGTCAAACCGTCCTGGCTTGTTATTCAAAAGAACAACAACCCAGCAGCTATGCACATCCTACCCACACCAGCACCCAACAGGGCACCTCTGTGCAGTGTCGAGAAAGCACTGTTTGTATGGTAAAATCTTCCAGAATGATAAGTGGGTGCTCACACTAAGGCCCACAGAAAGACGCTTATTTCACTTCATGAACATTCCAGTGACCCTCATGATCACTATGTCAAAGGCTATCTTTGGACTGGTCTGTGACCAAGACCAAGGAGGGCCACATACTAATAAGAAATGTGTGATAGAGGAGGCATATCTAGGGGTATAGGGCACTTGCATGGACTGCCCTGACCACACGCACGTAAGCCCAAGGAGAAAGCCAGGCCTTGCCCTGCTTGCTAGACCTGCAATGCACCAGCCTTGTCCTCCGCTAAGGAAATAACCTACCTCATTCCCCTGTTCCAGCTCCATTTGCCTGCTTATTTGTGTCAACATCCCATTCCTTTAGCCTCTCCTTCCACACTGGATGCCACTGACTCTAGCCAATGGGCTTTCCCCTGTCCTGGTACTAATATGATTGGCTATAGTCACCAACCTTATACATGTAAAATCCACTGTTACAGTCCATGTGGCATGGCCAACCCCTCACACCCTTCAACTATCTCTATGCACACGTAGCCACGGAGCTTTAGCCTTCAGGGTTTCCCCCTCCTCAGTAACTGTAGCCAGACCTGCTCACCACTCTGCTGTCCTCATGAGCACTACCAAGTCAAAACAGGCCCTGCCGGCTCTACTCCTCAGGCCTCAGCAGCATGACTCTGCCTTTAGGCCTAACCTGAGCCCATTTCAGAGGATCTCCCACCCAAGATACTCAACAGAAACTCGCCTTGCAGCCTACTGGCTCCTCTCCATTCTAGAAACTGGTCTTCATCACTCTCCTGCTGTGCTTCTGCAAGAGTGACCACCCTTCCCTCCTTGTCAGCTTCAGCCTCCTCAGCAGACAGCTCCTGCTGCCAGTAAACCCTCTAGCCTAGACCAATCTGTTCCCTTCCCACTTCCTCCCAACTGGCCTCCTCCCCTCGGACTTTTCCTCACCATATATGTTCTTTCCAGATATTTCTGTGACCATCTAATTATTAAATCTTCCTTCTCACACAAAGCTCAGTGGTCCCTCAGCACCCCACCCTAAACGGCCAGTCCTTACTTGTGCATGCCCCGTCAGGGACTGCCACTCCAGCATCACTGGCCAGTCCCCAGCCTGCTGCTGACAACGGGCCTGTCCTCTCTCCCTCCCTGAAGGCCACCCACCACAGGAGCTGTCCCTGGCAATGACCCCCACTGCTGCCACACATCAGTCAGGTTCCAGGCATGCGATTTCCACAGCACTCTAGAGCAAAGCTGAGGGTTACTCAGGGACTCTGTGCGGCCACTCATCACTTCTGCTGGCTTAAAGCCCTTGCCTCGAGGATAAGAAAAGCCTTGCCTGATATCCTAGAGCTGTATATACAGTGGCCCCCAGAGATACCTGTTGGCCACCCTAAACTGCTGCTTGGCATGTACAGGGCAGGCTGCCTGTGCCCACTCATTCCACTCCACACACACAGATGGGTGACCTCTAGCCACCGTGATGTAGCAGAGCCAGAGCCTCATATTACAACCATCCCTTTGCTTGCCTCAGTTTCCCTGACTGACTACTCATGCTGACCATCAGATTTCAGTACCCACTGATGCGGCCATCAAGCACTCAGGCAAGAACCTGACACTAGAACTGACTCAAGTCAAACACAGTACAGTCCAAACTCCTTACAGATACACCAGCCTCCTCAGGATTCCCAGGCCAGCCTACTTTAACCAAAAGCCTTTTATTCTTTCTCCTTTGTCATCTGCCAATGACCCAACCGATGACAATGTTTCTAAAATAGACTCACCAATTTGTTGGAGGGGCAACTGTACAGGGACAGACAGAGGGGAAAATAAAATGGCCCAATTGCATAAAGCTTACACAGCAGAGCTGCAGAGTTTAGCACAACTAGCTATACAGGCCAAGGAAAAGGTCTCTGAGGGTATGGCTAGGAGAGCTGTGGGATGCCAGAGGTTTCCTGAGCACCAAGGACACCACTCTGCTTCTAGGGCTAAGTGAAGGGACAAAAGCTACATATTTGGAATGAACAGGACAATGGGAGCTTCCTGAGTTCCCTCTCCCCTGGGAATACGGTATGCAATAGCACAATACCCTCCCCTCAGCCTCTGTGGAGGTACCCCCATCAGCAAAGGCACAAGCACACCAGAGGGCACATTACACAACTCACACTCCTTTCGGATGAAGCCCTGGTTGTACATTGCTTCCAGGAAGACAAAGTCACTGTAGATGGAGCGCTCCAAGACCACACCTTGTCCTGTTGAAACAAGTAAAGAAAAAATTTAAACCAAACAGCTAAAAAGTACTGCTAACTAGAAATTTCATTTTAGAAATGGAAAAGAAAAACTCCAGTCACTTACAGTTCCAGTTCTTACCAAACACATTCAGAGGACCAGCTTCCCCAGAACACTCGCCAACTCACTCCTGTCATGTATATTTCTAGTCTGTCTTTATGAGCCTATTAAAATGTAAGCCTCCTGCCTGCAGTATTCCTGGCTTTTGGAACATGCCTAGCACACAGCAGGTACTTACTCACAAACTATTTAGTAACTAAACATAGCATAAAAAGAAACAAACCACTGTTTACTTAACATGTAAAGTGTTTCTTTTTAATTTAAGAAACAAGTAGTTATAAAATGGGCTAGAATGTGCTTCTAAAAGAAATGGACTGCTTGGATTTCACTGAGGTAGGTCCTGGTAGAACCCACGAAGAAGACTCCTGACCACATAAGTTCCTAGGAATATTACTAATCAAGACCAGGGCTTCCATCCAGGGAAGGGAAATAATCACTAATAAAATTGGGAAATAAAAACCAGACACCTCTGTGACAACGTCAGTATGACCCAGACGCTGTGGACACACGCTGTGTGCTCAGGAACCTAATAAGAGTCCAAGAAAATGGGCCCCAAATGTAAATTTGTGAAACAGCTCTATCTGCTATCTTAAAGCCTTGCTGAAAACACATCCTTGTTCTCACAGCTCAGAATCAGAAACATGGATCCAACTTCCCAGGGCAGCTGAACTTGCTTCGATACCCACATGGAAGCCTCTGCCACAGGAAGTAGACAGAGCCTTAAACACAAACCACCCAGTCTTTCCCACACAATCTGCCTATCAACAATGGGCAGCCACTGCCACAGGAAGCAGACACAGCCTTAAACACCAGTCACCCCCTCTCCCACACTGCCCACCCATCAACCATAGGGCAGCCACTGCTATAAGGAACAGACACAGCCTTAAGTACTGGCCACATCCTCTCCCACCACACACACAACGTGCCACTGTGAATACAGTTCCTGGCACATGGTACAGTATATTTCAGGATATTCTGGGTCCATGTCTGTTTCCCAGGGAAGGGGCTGTATCCTGACCTCACTTACATACATTCCTGCTCTGTCATGTGCTCTCCCCTCGTGTCCTTGCTGCCAGTCTCCCACTCTAGACTTTGCTTGCCCAAATGCGCTCAGCTTGAATAGCATCTATGGAAACGCTCTTCCTAACTGCAGGGGCTCCTGAGACCCTGCATGCTTTGCCTCTCCAGTCTCTGCCATCTTTTCAAGGGTTAACTCTTAATCTGTGGCAACTTCCAGCCCGGCCACTGTCGCTCCAGAAAAACAGCTGATTGTCATTCATGTCTGTATAGGACACACAGTCCATCCTGATGGGAAACACAGCAATTTTTTGGAAAACCTCTACTCAGAACAGGATCAAGAAAGAGAATGCCCACCACCCCTGACCAAGGACACAGTGGTACCTGTGCTCAACAGATGTTCCAGGGCATCTGAGTACTGGAGGAGGCGGCTGGCATACAGCCAGGACTGCAGGCGGTAGCTGTTGCCATCGTTACTTTTGGGGTCATCGTAAAATTTCTCTAGGCTACAGCTGCCACTGAATTCCGTGTCGAGGGGCCTCCCATCGCCTGTGGTGCTGCTCGAGTACTGTATGCCTGCTTCAGGAAAGTGCTTCATGCCTAAGGAGAGAACACCCAGACTAAGCATGGGCTGACCACTCCCTACTACTCTAAGTATGTGGTTGAACAAAAACACAAAGAAAATGTGAATGCTATGGCCAGGGCTGGGCACCAGAACCCAAGAGAAGTCGCCTTCTCACTCACACTTCTTCACACGCTCAAGAAGCACACGAGGTGCCATGAACAACGGCTGAAGAGCATGTGTCACCATTTCCTGCAACCAAGCAGCACGTGGCAGTCCTTCCAACCCTCACCCCACTGCTACTGTCCAACACCACTAAAAAGGAAGGTAAGCAGATGGCTGCACCACAACAGGCCAGCCTGTCTCCCCGCCATCCCATGCGGAAAGCAAAGGCAGTGAGAGCGCCACCGGCAACGCAGCTCAGGCAGGTGCTCTGCTGCTCTCCCAGGGAAAGTGTAATTCCAACTGGTAACTGCCAGGGATTTTTAAATATACTAATTTGAAAGGTTACTACCCCCCACCCCATTCAGTCTTTTTGAGATAGGGTCTTCCTATGAAGCTTTGGATGGCCCAGTACTCACTATATAGCCCAAGCTTGCCTGGATTCCATGGCAGTCTTCCTGCCTCAGCAGCTAAAGCACTAGAGATTATGGGCATATATTAAATAAGCAACTAAAAAATGTAAGACCTACCTTAGGTATAAATTTACCTAGTCAACTGTCAAGCAAATTCTATGTAGGATAAGCAGTCACATGACCGACAAGCCAGGGCCAGTCTGCATGATGTCCATACCTAGTTTCTCTGCGATCTCCTTGGCGAGCTTGTTTTTCCCAGAACATATGTTCCCATCTACTGTTATCACTCGGCTGTACTCATTCAGTTTTTTGGTTGTCTTATCACCAAGAATGAAGGCCAAAGCTCCATACTTCATCTGTTTTTGCACACTGGTATGAATTTGTCCCTGAAAAACACATCACATCACCACTCTGGTTACTGCAGGCATTAGCAACTATTAGGTAGAATATGAGGAGGCCCCTCTTGTTTGATGAGCTGATTCCCTTCCTTCTTAGAGCAAGCTCTCTGAGGGTTGACTGTTTACCTCCCTAGGTCTCAGAACAGGGCCTGGAACAAGGATGCTTGCTATGTTGATAAAAAACTAGGTGGATGGATGAATAGATGCAGATGACAAATGGCAGAGGGGAGGGGGATCTGACCGAATAAAAGCGCCTCTCTGAACTAGGCTTCTATCTTCAGGCTGTTACCTAGTTACCCCACCACCGAGTACACATTTTAAGCATGAGAAAGCTAGAAGACTTAAACCAAAGTAGAGTTTCCATACTCTAACCCCCACGACCCAACAAACAATAGAGCAAATGTAAGTATGATCTTTGCCTTCCTTCAACTCCATAATCACCACAGAAGCCAAACTCTCAGGCTCTGTGGAAGAAGCACCACCTCCCTGTTACATCTCTCATCTGCAAGGCAAGAGATATCCTCACCAGCTGTCTCCCAGGCTATGCCCCAAACTGAAGCTAAAATAATCCACTCCCCCCAACCCACAAACAAAAAGGTCACCAAGGGGGCACCAGTGGGGGAACTGAAAGGGCAGCAAATTTTAAAATGAGAAGTAAACTGATCTCACAGAGATGATGTGGATGACAAGTGACTAAATGCTCCCACGAGAGCCAGGAGATGCACTGTGTGTGCTCTCCCAGGATGCCCACAAATGCAAGTGACTGCAGCACCAAGGCCAGCAAGGCAGTGTGTGGCAGGATGGTCTGCCCTGCTGAGTAGTACAAATGGGGCAGTCAGTGGAAGTCACATGGTTATAAAACTAGCATCCCACTAATGGCCCAGGAACCTTATCATCCAACTGACAGGAAGCATTCCCACAAGAAATTTGGATGCATACTTAATGCAGCCCCCCCACTCCAATTGCCTCGAAGGGGGAACTATCAAGATGGTCTTCAATAGGTAAATAAATGATTTTATATCCAAACTAAAGAGCATTACCCATCAATTAAAAGGAATGACTAAGCAAGCCATAAAGACATGAGCAATTTTTTTTCTTGCTGTTTTTGGGGTTTTGTTTTGAGATAAGGGTCTCACTATGTAGGCCTGGCTGGCCTGGAGCTCCCTGTATAGATCAGGTTGCCTTAGATTTCATAGATCTGCCTGTCTCACGCTGGAATTAAAGGTGTGCACCATGACATCTGGCTTAAGATTTATGAGAGGGAGGGAGGAGGGAGGGAGGGAGGGAGGGAGGGAGGGAGGGAGGGAGGGAGGGAGGGAGGGAGGGAGGGACAGAGAGAGAAGAGTGTTAGAAGAGCAATGGATACTTTTAACCACTGAGCCATCTGTCCGACACCACTGTAAAGTAAATGTAAACACAGAAACGTGTGGCAGGCAATATAATGTGACTGATTACATGAGTCCAGAATAGGTGAAATAACAGAAACCATCAATGGCTGTCAGGTTAGGGTATGGGAAATAAATGAACATTAAGCACAATGGACTTCCTCAGGGTTGTGAACAATTCCATGTGGTACTATGAAGGCAGAGATATGTCACTGTCCACTGTGCAAAACTACAGGACTTCACAGCATGAAGAATGAGCTAAGAGCATACAAAACTTGGAATGGAAACCAGAATGTGAATGGACTTCCGATAAACATATGTGGAACAACCTCACTTAAGAAGGGGTTGATGAACGGACAAGGAAATGAATGTAACCTTTAAGTCAAGGTCAAAGCAAAACTGCACCGTGAACGTTCTGTGCGCTCTAGTTGGTAAGTGTGGACCCAATGGGGAGTAAGCTGACAGCGCTGATTCCGGCTGGCATTCACGCGCTCCCCATTTCTCTCTCTGGCTCACATTCATAGCACACACACACCTCTCTTCTGTTCAAAATTAAAACCCTGGGCAGTTTAACACCTCTGTAGTTCTAGCTATTAGAAAGCAAAAAGAGTTAGGATGCCGTCATAAAACGTGTCCTATTCTGCCGGGCGTTGGTGGCGCACGCCTTTAATCCCAGCACTCGGGAGGCAGAGTCAGGCGGATCTCTGTGAGTTCGAGGCCAGCCTGGTCTACAGAGCGAGTTCCAGGACAGGCTTCAAAACAATACAGAGAAACCCTGTCTCGAAAAACCAAAAACAAACAAAAGTGTGTCCTGTTTCCAGCCACGGTCCCGTCAGCACCCAGTATCACCCAGTAGTATGCATGCGCCGCAGGAAGTCCTAATCCTCCCAATCTAGCCCCAAATGTCTACTACTGCTCCACATCACGGCACCCCAGCGTCTACAGGACGCTCCACGAAGCCGCTTCGCCAATCACTGGACGGATGAGCAAGCGGGCCCAGGCTCCAGGGCTCCGGCATCCCGACTCCCCAAGTGCAGCCGGGAGAGCGAGTCCCGCTGCAACGCTGCACCCGGAGCTGGGGCTGGGGCCTCAGGAGCTCGCGGCTCCAGCAACACCGGGACAGAGGGCACGGAGCCGACGGGCCGAGACCCAAGCAAGACTAGCCGCCCGCCGCTCACCACGCGCTGGACTCCGGCCGCGAGGCCGCGCGCGGAAGCCGACGCCGGGACGAGTCTCAGCAGCCTCAAGGCCATAGCTCCGCCGTCCCCGCTGGCTCAAGGACCAGAGGGACGCGAGCGCGACGAGGTCCTAGTCTGTCTGCGGCGCGCTGCCATGACGTCACCGTCGAGGTGTCCGCGGCGCCTGTCGGGAAAAAAAAGACACCTTTCCAGGAACACAGGTGACCCGGCAGGGTCTTAGGGAAGGGACGGTACTTAAAGCTAGACTGACACTCAGGGGACCGGGTTAGCTCCTTTGGGCGAGTAACGCGGCTGGACCCTAGAACTCCGAGTGTGGCGAAGGCCGAGAAGCCCCTCCTGAGCCTTGCGGATTGAGCGGAGGCCGCCAACTCTGAGCTGGGGTTCTCATCGATGCCTTGAGGGGTGTGGCGGAAGGGTGACGCCCTCGCTCCGGGTATTCCACGGGTTCCGTGGGATGGACCCGCTCGCTCCCAAGATTCTGTGGTGAGAACCCGCCTCTGAGGAGAAGACCCAGTTCCTGAGTTCCGTCGGCGGCGGTGGCGTCACCTACTCCCTGCCTGGGTTCAGAGAGGAGGAGCTGCCACCCGCCTGGACTCCGAGGCTGACAGCCCTGCACGACTCGTTTCTGAGCTCTTGCAGTGCTGAGAGCTGAGGTGGCCTCAGGTGTGGAACCACCGTGGTTTCCAGTGCAGAGCTCCCTGCCTCACTTCCACAGCTGCCACCCCCCCCCCCCAAACTTCTTCAGCCACACAACCCTCTGAGGCTAAGGAAGAAGAGTCTTCATAAGCCAGGAAAGTGCTGTTAGGGGGAGAATCCCCAAAACAATGGGGAGTCAAGCCTGGGCGCGGACTTGTCCTTGTAGGTGACACAGAAGCTCTCCTGCACTTCCGCATTTCTAGAAAGCCCGGTGCTCTTTCCAGTATATTAAGAATGGGAGTGGGAACCCTCACCACCCACATTCCTCTTACATCCTGTCCTGATCATCCCATTTGGCAACCTTAGTAGTTCTATGTGGAAGAAATCGGATTTTTAATTTAAAAATCACAACCAAAAATGAAATGTCTAAACATGTATGTTTTACTGAAGAATTTTACTTAACACTTAAATATGTAAATATGTACAGTTTCCTCCAGAAAACAGAAGAGAATGCTTACCATCACGTATTGTGATGCCACAACTGTCAAATATATCCCAAAAATTTAAGACTAGTGAAAAGGGACCAGCCAAATTAACACACCCTGAGCAGAGCCAAAGAAACACACTTTGGCCCTGGAATCAGAATCAGTGAAAGAAATACACCCTGGTCCTAAAACTAGAACAAAAAGACTAAAAATGACCAGAGAAAGAAACACACTTTGGCCCTGAAACCAGAGCCAAATGTAGCCATCCTGAGCTGGAGATTTAAAATTGACCAATCCCCACCCTGGAAGCCCCTATGTAAACCCTGTGTCTGTTCAGCTTGTGGCTGTTCGCTCTACCCGGCTGTCCTCTGCTGCTCTGGCAGGGGGCAGCCACATCTGCTGGATTCTTCCCTCCCAGTAAACCCCTTTGATGAGCTTTGGGTGAAGACCTTTTTTTGCGCTGGAGCAGAGAGAACCCTGGGCAGAGCAGAGCAAGCAGGGCTGTAACACTTCTGCTGGGGAAACCTTCCCTTAGCAGAGCCAAGTTGTTACACTCCATTCTCCACTGTCCCGGAGCATAGCTGAACTGTAGCAACTTAGCCTGGGAAAACCTCATGCTGGAACAAAACTGCTACACTGGGCAAACATCCCCAGCTGAAAGACCCTGTCCTGCCAGAGCAGAGCCGATACACTGGGAAGCCTATCCCTGAGGCAGGGCTGTAAGCTGCTATGCTTACTGCTGCCTGTGCTGGTCCTTAGCTCCGGAGCTCCAGGATACCTTACCATCTGAGTTGTGTAACACTTAGTATTCTGTGACTTCCATTGCCAGAATATCTGTCTCATCTGATCCGACCAAAATGCCTACAAAGACCCCCATAGATCAATATCTTATGAATGTATACAGGAAAATTCTCAAGAAAACAGTAGCAAAATGAATCCCGCGATGTATAAAATGAGCACAACCCCAACAAATGTGATGTAGTCAAAGGATGCAAAGCCATGTGATGTTTAAAAATCCACTAATGTAAAAACAGAACAAAAGAAATACATGTGATCAGTGTGTCTGATAAAAGCATTGGACAAAGACAAATACTGATTTATAACAAAAGAGCACATGTGTTCAAACAAGGACTATAGGGCACCTACTCATCTTCAGAAAGAATGCCCACAAAACCCTAGAGATAACCTCAAGTAGAGGAAGAATGAGATTTGTCTTTTGAATAAAAAGCAAGGCCTTCTGCTTCCCCCACACTTTCCTCAGCAAAACAATGAAAGCCCTAACTCATATAGTATTACAAAAGATATAAATGGAATACATATAGGAAAAATAGAAATAAACTATCTGTAGATGATATTATTTTACTCAGAAACCCCAAAAGAGATGACAGAAAATCTCCTTGAATGAACAAGTAAGTTCAGTTCAGTTGGGTTGTGCAGTACACATAAAAAATGTACATAGAATGACAGTATTCTATGTACTAACATTATATAAGCCAGAGCTGAAGAACAGATGAAATTCAATTTATTCTTTTTTTTTTTTTTGGTTTTACGAGACAGGGTTTCTCTGTTTTGTTTTGGAGGCTGTCGGTCCAGCCCGGCCTCGAACTCACAGAGATCCACCTGCCTCTGCCTCCCGAGTGCTGGGATTAAAGGCGTGCGCCACCACCGCCCGGCTTCAGTTTATTCTTGATCTAAGTAAACTGTAATACTTGAGTGTAAATATCACATATTTGTAGGCTGCAACATATAAAATGCTGATTTCAGAAATCAAAGAAGCCCTCAAAAAATGGAGAGGCATATATATCACAGATCAGAAGAAATACATAATGTCGATTTTCCCCAAACCGATCTATAGGTTTAATGGAGTTACCACTAAATCCTCCACAAGGACATTTGAATGGGTAGAGACAAACCTTTTAACATTATAGAAGTGTAAGGACGCTAGATTAGCCACAACGAATTGAAAAAGAAGAATAAAGTCAGGGGAACTACTCTTCCACTGTTGGGCTTCACTACATGTTGCTATAAATCAAGAATGTGCAGTGGTTTATGGAGGCTGTGGTGTTCCCAGAACAAGAACCAATGAAGCAGAGAGAACTGCCACAAATGAACCAGCACATAGTCTCAGCTCTTTCTGCAATGGTGCAAACACAGTCCCGTGGCAGATGGTGTGAGAGTGATTTGGCTAGCCATGGGGGAAGCAAATAAACCTTCACTAACCTTAACACCAAAAAGAAAGAAAGAAAGAAAGAAAGAAAGAAAGAGCCTAAAATCTCAAAATGGAGCGTGTATTTGAATGTAGTATGTAAAATTACAAAGCATTTAGGAAAAATAGAAAGATTTTGAGCCTAGGACTAGGGAAATAATTTTTGGCTTGATATCAAAAGCATAATTCAAAATGGTTAACTAGACTTTATCAAATCCAGAAATGTCTGCTTCATGAGACCTTAAGATGTTGAGAGGACAAACTACAAGTAGAGAAAATATTTCCAAGCCATGTATTGACAACAGACCTGTTTCTAGAATATATAAGTAGCTAAATTCACATTAGAAATAATCCAGGAACTGGCATGATGGCACATTCCAGAGGTCAAGTGGTGTGGTTTCCATTTATATTATATTATGTGTTGAATGACAGGAAGAACAACTTAGAGGCCAGGGCCACATGGGACTCCCTGGTTTATGTCTTTGCAACATTATGTAAATTGCCATTATCTCTAAAAGAAGGCATGAAATTACATTGTGTGCAGGATAATAAAGAAATTGTAACAGAAGACAGGTGCTCATTATTTTCTTATTAAAATCTCAAATTTGTGACAATAACATTGTCTTCAAATTAATCTGTAGATTCAACACAATCCCGCAAATAAAAACCTGCAAGCTTTTCTTTTGTTGACACTGACAGTCAGATTCTTAGATGTGTAACTCCTTCCGGGAAGACCTAAGAGAAACCAAGACCACCTAGAATAGAAGCACATGAATGGAGGGCATGCTGGACCAGGTCCCTCTTCATGACAGGGTCCTGAGGGAGAAGCACCAGGAGACAGTGGCAGAGGGGGAGGGTAGAAGAAGATAAAACAATAGCTGGGGTTTTCATAAGCTGATGACTTTTGCCAAGCAAGTTTATTAAGAAATACGGCATCTTATATACTATTTTCAGGGGGAGATGTGGCCAAGGTCAACAGAGCTAAATCAGACCATGTTGGCAAGAGAACACATGATCCTTCAGACACAACTGCTTTAGGACTGATAAACACAGCCCCGGGAGAAGAGATTGCTTCTCCATAAACCACAACCATGAATCCTTTGAGGCACTGACTTGTGTCCCAGATCATCCTTGTGAAGTCCACTCTTGTACAAGGACACAGAGCTAACATTTCCTTTGTTCTTTCATCGCAGCCTCTGAGAAAGTCTTGAATGGGTCTGGCTCCCAAAACCAGGTATACAAAAGAGCAGGCTGGAGTCTAAAGCACAATGATCTATGCTTTCAGTGATTTGTTTTATTAGATGGTGACACTGCCTAGGGAAGAGCGTGACCTTTCAAACAATGGATGAGTGGTAGACCAATTTCAGGTTCTAATGGAAACTGTTTTCAGTTTCAGATAGATTAAAAATGTAAACATTTAAAAAACAAAGCTTTGAGAATGCCACTGAAGAAATTTTCATGAACGTAGGGAAAGCAAACATTTCTTAAATATAAAATCTCTATAAACGTAATTGTACAAGTTAGACATGAAAATGAAGGACTTCTCATTGTAAGACACACCAGAACAGATCATATAATAAACTGGAAGCTTTTTGCATCCAAGGGCTCAGATCTGACAGGAAGCTCAGATCCAGATGTTATAAGAAGCCCAATAAGAAAAGAAACCAATATAAAAATGGGCAGAAGATGTGGACAGCTCACCAGGAAAGTCACATCCAAATGGACAGTGAGACACTCAAGTCAGTATATGCAGAACACCATTTGCACTTGGAAAACACAGATTAAAGTCACTGTAAGGGACCTTTGGAGCCCAGAAAAAAGGCTGAATTGAAGCAGAAACAACACTACATGTTGGCCATGATTCAGAACCTCTGGTATTCTCCTGTATTGCTAATGGGAATAAAGATGGTACATAAAGTTTTGAAAATAGTTTCTACTAAACCTGGCCATGCACATATCTTATGTTGCAGCAGTTATAGAAACATGCATCCTATGTTACCTATGTCTAGCCTAGATACAGCTCTGTGTATCTCACTAAACTGCATGACTATCAATAAAATACTCTGGATTGTATATAGAAGCATCACACATCCTAGACAGTATCCATAATACTGTCATCCAATAGCAATACACAGGACTACATGCTGATGCACATGTGAAGATTACCAAGCAACAGTGCATGAATCATCACTACATGCAAGAGAGGAAGACACATACAGTTGAGCCAAAGCAGGACATGAAATGTAAGCATTTCATGACCACATTAATGAAACTCAAAACACCCAGGTTATTCTGGCATTAGAAACCAGCATAGTAGTTCTCTTGAAGCAGAGAGGGTAACTAGGGCTGGACTCTAGTGCGTGCCCAGAGTCCACACTCACAAAACATATTTGGATGAAGCCTCATGACTGTGGGTAGTTTTACAGTGTTAAATTTCATGAAAAATAATAGTATTAGGATGAGAGGTTTTATTTGCATTACACTTGAGAGGACTTAATGTCTACTGAGAGTAGTGCCCAATCCCAGGGTCCTTCTCACAGCATCCTTAAATTCAGTGTTCCTCAGACAGTAGATCAAAGGATTCATCATGGGTGTGAGGACAGTGTACACAGCAGAGATGAGCTTGTTGGAGCTCCGGCTATCAATGGCCTGGGGCCTCACATACATGAAGATCATGGCCATGTAGAAGAAGGTGACCACAGTAAGGTGGGAGGCACAGGTGGAGAAGGCCCTCCACCTTCCCGTGGCCGAAGGGATACGAAGCACAGCCAGGGTGATGTGGCCATAGGACAGAATGGTGGCCAGGAGAGGGAACACCAGAATGATGAAGGCCAGGACGAAGTCCACCAGCTCTGCAGTAGAGAAGTCGGTGCAGGCCAGCTTGAGGATGGGGGAGATGTCACAGAAAAAGTGGTTCAAGACATTGGAGCCACAGAAGGTAGCACTGGAGATAAAGTAGACCTTGATCACAGAGATAGTGAAGCCACTAGCAAAAGAGAAGGCCACGAGCTGGACACACAGCCCCGTGGTCATGATGACTTGGTAGCGCAGGGGATGGCAGATGGCCACATAGCGGTCATAGGCCATGGAAGCCAGGAGTACACACTCTGTGCACACCAGGGAACTGAAGAAGTAGAGCTGAGTCATGCATCCAATGAAGGAGATGTGTTTCCTCTGCAGGAGGAAGCCGTCCAGCATCTTAGGGATGATGTCTGACACATACCAGATCTCTAGGAAAGACAAGGAGCCCAGGAAGTAGTACATGGGCCTGTGGAGAGAGGCGCTGCTCCAGACAGTGAGGATGATGGCCAGGTTCTCCGTCAGCACAAAGAGGTAGGCGAGCAGGAAGAGGAGGAAGAGCAGGTACTGCAGCCTGGGGGCTGTGGGGAAGCCCAGCAGGATGAACGCGCTGACCTTGGTGATGTTCTCTCCCCTCATCCTTCCGCACCTGCAAAAGATCAACAGGACCAAGTGTCAGCTGAGGGGAGGAGAGGGAGCAGGCAGTCACCCCAGCTGCAAGAAGGAGAACACCCCTGGTTCCTGTGAGCAGCAGGGAAAGGAACTCCTTCTCCTGCCAGATCTCACACTGGGAAGACCTGTGCGCTTGTGTTTGGTGCATAGTGACGAGGGGACAGGCAAGAGGGGAACTGCTGAGGATAGATGTTTAAGATGTAGGAAGCCTACATGGCCCTTGGGGAGAGTAGTTGGGTTCAGAGTGGGGTTCTTTGCTGTGCTGCTGGTGCTTGGGTTCTATATTCTAGGAAGGGCATGCAATGGTTTTGCCAGACAACATCAGCATCCACCCTCTCTTCAATCATGTCAAGGATGATAATGCTTATTTTATATTATTTTCCCTTGAATCAGAGGTGCCAAGGCTGATGTTTGCTCTGCTCTGCTTTAGTCATAAATGTTTACTGTGGAGAAAGCCAGGACAGACAGGGCGGTGTGGTACCCTGCAGGGGTGACTATAGACAGGTCCATGCTCCTTGGTCTGGAAGTAAGAGGATAGAGGGGACTATGCTCCTGCCTTGCTGGAGGAATGAGTGTAATGGCTAGGGCGCTACGACTCAGTGAGATCTCCAGGGATCCCTGTGCCCAGCTCCACCCAGCGCACCCCACGCGTACACACACACACACATCTGCTCTCACATCCTGACCCTCCCCATGTTGATAATGGCATCACTGCCTTTCCTGGCTACAGACTACAGTAGCCCATAGGAAGCTGGATTACTTTGAATACAGGGGTGGGAAGCCGACTTAATTGGAACATAGAGAAACTGGGACCAAAGGAGGTCCAGGAAAGGCCCTGGGAGCAGTTAGTGGGCAGAGAATCTCTCAGCGGATGAAAAGCAGTACCCTCAGGGCCACAACTGCAGGTGTGAAGGACACAGCTTGGGGAGGTGGAGAGGGAGATGGTTCAGCACCCCATGCAGACTGAGTCAGGAAGACCTCGTGGTGTGACCACAAACACTGGGTGGAGGTGAGGACAGGGCAGGATGGAGCTGTGGGGACAGAAATCTGAGGTGCAGCCAGAGACCCATGAGACATGCTGGCCCATTGCAACTCCAACAATAAAGAGAAACAAAGGAAGCCAGGGCTGAGTATGGCCACTCACAGAAGCTGTTCCGCTCCTGGGAACAGGAATAGATGCGGGTCTCAGAAGCACTGATAGAATTGGACAAAGGTTCCAGAGCAGGCCTTACTCAGGGAGGACAGTGAGCAGACATAGAGGCAGTCACATGAATGCACATCACATGGTGCAAGTCTCCAGGATTCCTGCAGCTCAGACAGAAAGCTTTGGAACAAGGTCTGGATATCGGGCAACCAAGCTGACCCCAAACTAAAGGATACAGAGGCTGCTCAGGATCCTGGAGAACTGGTAGGCAAGAGAGATGTCAGGAGCCATGGCCCCTCCAACTAGGGATCCTGAGCCAACACCCATGAGCTCACGGAGAACCTAGAGTCAAGGCCACTGTTCATTTAGGAGGATGGGTATAGGCATAGGACAGGTCCCCACAGCCACAGACAGTTCTTGCAGATAGCAGAGAAACACCAAACAGGCAGACTTTTTTCTCACAAACATCCAAGACACCCGTGAACTCTAGTGTAGAAAACTGTGTAGGGCTAATCATGGCGCTGCTGAACAGCACCGTTCTTGCATTCCCTAGCTGCAGGCTGGCAGCTTTCCTATCCCATTGTGTCTGCAGGCCTCTGGGACAGTGACTGAGTCTGCTCTCCTGCTTTTTCCGCTACCACCAGTTGATAGCTGTACTTGCTCAGCCTGAGCCACTTCTGTTTAGTTGTCCATGAATGATCGCAGCACCTCACGGTAAGGCTTGTGTGTTTACGCAGCCATGCTACAGCACTTAAGATGCCATAGACATCAACTCTGAAGGTAGACTAGAGCGGTGGACATGTGCTTGCCCAGGCTGCTGATACTATGCCAGTGCTGATAGCTTACCAGCTACAAACTTGCAGGCTATGGGTAAAGTAAGTCTGGGGAAGCATTTTTCAGGGTGCTCCCTGTGGCACTGGAATTCTAGCCCTAGAATTCTGGTTTGAAAAGGAAGAAAACATCATGAAAATAAATACTTAGGTGTCCAGTTGACACCAGTGGTTTGCTGGGGAGGGGCAGTGTCTCCTGGGAAGGTTTTGCTATTGGAGCCCCAGTAAGGGGGTTTTGAACCTTCAGTATAATGGGGGTCTTCTACTTCGTGTTGGCTATCATAGCATGCAGACTCAGATTTCGCTAATTTCTGACCTCCTTTTTGGTGGACCTTAAATCCAATGACAATGACTTTCTGAAAGATAGCAAAGAGTAGACATCTATGGAGGGACAGTCACATGAAAATCCAGGCAGATGTTGAAGCCATGCAGCTGTAGGAATGAGGATCCCTCAAGGCACCAGGCACAGGAAGAGGCATAGAGGATTCTCCAGAGAGGTCAGGTGGGAGAACAGCCCTGCCACACTTTGACTTTGAAAGTCTGGTCCCCAAAATGTTGAAAGAATAAATGTCTGTGGTTTTAAGTCACAGGCTCTAGTCCTCTGGTAGTCCTGTGGATCCTGGCAGCAGAGAGAGAGGAGAAGAGACTCAGGCGAGCTGAGCTGTTTAGCATACCCAGGACATTGCAGTGATGGGAAGTGTAGAGAGGGCCCTGTGGCTGCCCGGTGTCTAGGAGCATCTCTACTTGGGTGGCTGTGCTGTGAATACTTGGGTGGCTGTCTGTAAGGTTGGCTCAGCAAGCCTGGGATCCACAGAGAGGTTCTGGGATGAAAAAAAGAAACCGCTAGGAAAGACATGGCACAGGGCAAGTTTGCACTTGGGATGGGGATTCCTGCACCAAAGGTAGATACTCTGTAAGAAGACCCAAACTTGCCACAGCTGTGAGTTATCCCAAGGTAACAAAACTTTCATGCCATTAAAATGCTAGTGTGTGGTTAAGTGCTGAGCATCGTCCTCTGCAGCACTTACAATGTCCTCCAGTGTGTCACCCAGCACACACCTCTTAAGCTAAGCCAGTAATGGCCCTGCCATTGCAATCTCAACACCTGGTGCTGGACATCATCCAGAACCAGGTTGTGTCCTTCCCTGGCTGAGTGACCACAAATGGCTTTGGAGCTCCTAGAGGAGTCCTTGGCATTTCATTGGCTTTGCCTGGTATTGCTGTGTCTCCAGAATGGTGCAAGCCACACGGATCATGCGTATCATTGGGACACGGCTCCTGATCACTGTGAATGAGCTAATTAATGATGGACGATGGAATGGACAGAATCTCAGTCTGCCAGTTGAGCACCTGAGAGCTGCATACTCCTCTTCATCTGTTCCTTGGCCATGGCTATGGGTTCTTTCAAACAGACTTTCTATTTTGGAACCATTTCAGATGGACAGACCATGAACCTCCTGTTCAGTTCCCTCAAGGCTAATGGTCTGGGTAATAGAACATGCTATCAGGATGAGGGGGTGGGCCCAGGTATTTGCTCATGACTGCACACACTTTACATGTCTGTCATCTGTTGGCTCCCATGTTCCAACTGATCTGAGGTCTCCACTGTTTAAGAATGCATTTTCATGCTGGGTTTCAGGTTCTTGTGGAGGCTGGAGGGCCACATGGGTTCTGATAAGGAGTCAGAGGTTTTCTCATCACAAGCTAGTCTGCACGGTGCCCCAGACTGAGTGCCCTTGCATGGTAGAGTTCAAATTCAGGAACATGCAAAAACCCAAGAGAGGAAAGAAAGTTTCTGCAGACTGGGGTTGCCCTGGGAGTCAGGAGAGGGTCCTGACCCTGTCAGCCTGCAGTCGTGAGCTCAAAGACTCCCATTCTACCTGGGAGAACCAGTGGACAAGGACCTAGTCATGGTGGGGAGCAGATGTTCTGATGAGCCCAGTGTCGTGAGGATGCTAAGACTCTGTGCTGCTAGAGGGGAGGACACAGCACAGTACCCAATCTATGCATGCAGCATTGACCTCAAATATGCACTCAACACAATTCTCACAGTTCCATACTCAACACAGCACCCATTGACGCTTAGTCAAAAATACCCACTAATGTTTACTCAACATACTACCCACTAATGTTTACTCAGCAGAGGACTCATCAACATACACTTAGCACAGAAATCCTGAACATGTATACATCAGATTAAGTACACTATCCACCCATACACACTAGGCACAGTACTCATAGATGATACTCACACAGGGCAAATCAATGCTTAGTCAACATAATGCTTACTTAACACAGAACTCATCAATATACACTCATTGCAGTATCCAAAGATGACCACTCAGCATAGCACTTACAGATGAATGACCTTTTGATTCAGTACTGTGAGCCTTCAGGCTGGGTGCTGTGTCTGTGGAGGTGAACCCGCCCCAGCCTCAATGTGGACACGTCTGATGAAGTTTCAGTCACCCTGCACACGTAGCTCTTCTATGATCACATTATACAACATATTCTGAAGACAGCATGATCCATCCTGACTCGAGAAGCACTCATACTACCTGGGGATCTGGTAGCCTCACTTGGACAGACTTTGGCAACAAGGCTGTTCCTGGCTGCTGACTCCACAGTGACCAGATGAGACTCAGACAGATTCTAAGGACATGGGCTCCTCAAGTGAGGGAAGGAATAGGTACGGCTTTTTAGCTGGAGCCAAGTGTCTCCTGGGCCCAATTACCCCCTTGCAGCTGATGAACCTGCCCACACTGGTAATGAGCTGGATGAGGACTTGTGGAGCAGGCTACTCCTGCCCTTTAGCCTGAGGAGCCTGTGGTCTTTCTTTGTTGCCTCCCCACAGGCCTGGCCATCCGGTTGCCCCACTCTCCAACTGAAACCAGTGTTTTTCATCTTGTAGACTTCTTCCATTCTCAACCGTGAGACAAACTTCTACAACCAAACATGGAGATCATGAAAGATTTCGCAATACTAAATGGTTC